CCTTTTTACTTTTTTTTTTTTTTTTAGTACCGGGGATCGAACTCAGGACCTTAGGCTTGTGAGGCAGGCAGAGGAACCACTGAGCTAAATCCCCAGACCCCTCTTTTACTTTTTAATTTTTAATTTTCATTTATTCATTTTTGCAGTACTGGAGACTGATGGATTGATGTGGTACTACAGATTGAACCCAGGACTTTCACACTGAGCTACATCCTAGCCCTTTTCTTATTTTTTACTGTGATACAGGGTCTGGCTAAATTGCCCAGGCTTGCCTTGACCTTGAGATTCTCCTGTTTCAGCCTCCTGGGTAGCTGGGATTACATACAGGAATGTTCCACCCCACTCAGTTAAATTTGAGTTTTACAAGGACCATTTTAGTACCTTGGTAAATTTTTTTTTAAAGCACTAAATGGCAGGGAGTGGTGGCACATGCCTGTAATCTCATCACCCAGGAGCCTGAGGCAGGAGGACCACTGTTGAGGTCAGCCTGGGCTACTCAGTGAGTTCAAGGCCAGCCTGGACTACATAGTGAGACCTTGTCTAAAACAAACAATAAGTACTAAATGAAGAAATGTATTCATCAAACAGTTGTGGCCAGTGGCATGCCTGAGGCCTCCTAGAAACGGCCAAGGTAGGCAAGGGTAGCAGACTCTTAGGAGGGAGGAAGGGTCTCCCTCGCCAGTGGGCGACCTCAGTTCTGGGGTCCAGCACTTCAGCCATTCTTGGGAACATTTCTTCATCTCCCATGGGAAACCCACGCCATGTGACTTGAGTAGAGCCGGCCCTGCACCCCGAGGCCTGGCCAGGCCGGGCAGGACACCCCCGCCTGGCCAGGAGAGTGGTTCAGAAAGGCCAGCATCGCCTCCAGCACACCCAGCACTTTCCGCCCCTGCACACACAGACCTTGCCTTCCTAACGGGTCACTGTGCACCAAGGCTGGGCCTGTGGGTAGCCTGGTGCTTCTCTACAAAATGGTGTCCCCTATTGTCCCTCACTTCCTCAGTGACAAAGGCCAGAAACATCATTCCTTTGCGGTCAAGCTAATTTTTGTCTTGTCTCGTGTGGAAGACCGAAGGAAGGTAGGAGACTGGGCCTGGGGGTTACTTTGTCTCATGAATCGTTAACATTGTAATGTGGCACGGCATCGACAGACGACTCTACCAGTGCCTCATCCAGGACTCCACTAGGAGGATAATATAACTGAGGATAATGGCCTGGAAAATTCCAGTTTAATTTGTCCTTCAGTGTAAATGCCTCGTCTGTCTGTCTGTTTGTTCTGTTTTTGTTTTTGAGACAGGATCCCAATGTAGCTCAGGCTGGCCTCAAACTTGCAGCGATCCTCCTGCCTCTGCCTCCCCAGTGCTACAATTACAGGCCTGCACCACCATGCCTAGCTTCCAGTCAAGGTCATTCTGTGCATGCAAGGTTGAATCCTGTTTTAACCTGACCAATTCACATTGTTATAAAGTCCCTGTAAGTCTCCTGTGTATTGGTTGGACAGGGCTTAACTGATCTAACCAATCCACTGCTTTGTGATACTTCAGATCATTCCTAATTAGATTTTCCTACCATTATATTAACTCATCTTTGAGAGTCCCCTCCCTCCTGTGTTTATGATAATGTCTCCTAGGCAGAAGACCAAGGAAAGGGCTCTTCTCCCAGGGAGAAACAGCTAACAGGACCTGAGCTGCTGAGGAGGGAAGCGCATCTGTCACACGAGGCGTGTCACCACGGCCAACCAAGAGCCCTTTCTGTCCCCGCCTGGGAAAGTTCAAGCCATGACCTGTACAACTTTGACAAAGTCCCTGGCCACTGACTCAAGGGACAACTGTAAAAGGTTCTATTTGGTCTCCCTTGGGTTCGCATTTTGAAATGGAGAGTTTTCACCATCAATCTAGATTTCTGAATTTTCCTGCAAGAGCAGGAGATCTGGGTGGGGATGACAGACCAGCCCCACACAGTCCTGCTTCTCCATGATCCCTCCCAGCCCCTGAGCCCTGTGACAGCCCAGTGGGTCTTGCCAGCTCCTGCAGGGCCCTGCCAACCTCTAGGAGGACAATGTCTCCGACCAATAGAACCCTGTGAGGGTGAAAGAAGGGACTTGGGGACCCTCTGTAAACACAGGCTGGCCTGATCCTTGCCACTGTACCTCCACAGCACACGTGCCAGGGCTCTGGGCCACAGCGCCCCCTTCTTCCCACTAGGTGTTCCTGTCTGGATGGAAGCTAGGGAGACTGTGATGAATCCCTACACCACGTCCTCACCAGGCCATGGGGGAACCGAGGTCCACAGCCATTGTTAATGGTGTCAAGGGGCCTCTGGGAAGGGTGGGAATTAACCCAGAGGCAGCCCTGGCAGAAGGTAGCTTCAGCGCCTTCCTGGTGAGCCTGCCCACCCCAGCACAGAGCAGCCCCCAGCTCACTCCTCTCTCTCCAGGGCATCCCGGGGCATGGGTAGCAGGGACAGGAGGCACGCCTGGTTCATGTGCTGGAGCTCCGAGAGCCGCTGCAGGTGCTGGGCCTCTGACATGTGGTCCTGGAACTCCTGTAGCATGAGGAAGCCAGGGACGGGCATGAGGGGAGGCCCCGAGGAAGAGAGCTCCAACCTGGGCTTCACAGCAACCCTGCCATCTCTATGAGCTGGAACAGGCCAGTAAACTGAGGCGGAGAATGAGTACACAGCAGCCAGAGCTTTGCCCCTCCCAGGGACTATGACCATCTCACAGACAAAGAGCTTTCTGGTTCACTTAGTTCTTCATGGCTCTACTCAGGCCAGGCAGAGTAGAGAGGTAACCATAGCAACAAAAGTACCAACACAGAAGGCTTGTTACTGATGCTTGGGCCCCTTGCACCAGCCCCGGGCTCTGGACTGCAATATCAGGTCCAGTCCCACACAGCTGATCAGGGCTGATTTGAACCAAGTTTGCCTGACTCTAAAACCTACCCTGCTGGCTGGTCAGGAAATGCTTTCTGTTTTTGTTTTGTTTTGAAATAGGGTCTTGCTGTGTAGTTCAGGCTGGCCTTTAACTGCAAACAATCAATCCTCCTGCCTCAGCCTCCCAAGTGCTGGGATTACAGGTGTGTGCCACCAGGCCCAGCAGGAAACGCTTTCTGAACTGATGCTCCGCTGCACAGGGCCAGGCTTGAGGGTCCTGTGCAGCCACTAGGGCAGCATGGAAAGGGCAGGCTGTGTGCTGTGCAGACTCCGACCCTCCCCGAACCCTCACCGACACCCGTCCACCCCTAGTACCTGCTGGCTGCTGCAGTTCACCTTGCAGACATAGCAGAAGAAGTGAAGGCCCTGCTTAGAGGGTGTGCTGGTGGCCACAGGGGTGGCAGAGGAAGAGTCGCCGGGACGGGGCCCAGGCGTGAGGGGTGCAGTGTTAAAGGCCCGGCTGTCGCTGCTCTGCAGGATGGTGACCTTCAGGGAGCCCCCAGCGCCCCACACCTGCACCAGGAGCAGAACCAGGGCTTCTGCCATCTGGGTGCTTCTGGCCAGCCCACCCCAGGGTGAACATCGATGAACACTGTGCTATCACAGCCCCTGGCAGACAGGGAAACTGAGGCTCCCGCTCTTAGGTGACTGCCCAACATGTAGCCAGAGTAGGAACCCAGGTCTGCCAAATTATGAAGTCTAACCCACGCCACCCCTCACACAACAGATGGGGAAACTGTGACCAAAAGGGAAAGGGCTTGCCCAAGGCAGGGACCCGGACCTCGGAGAAGCTTTCACACTGCACTCCTCCAACTAGAGAGCCGTCCCCGGCATGAGGGAACTGGAAGCTTTTGCTCAGGGACAGGCCAGCTGTAAGGGGCTCTTTTTGTTTGTTTTCTTGAGACAGGGTCTCACTATGTAGCCCAGGCTGGCCTCCAACTCCCTAGGATCCTCCTGTCTCAGCTTCCTGAGTGCTGGAATTGACAGATGTGCACCCCAAGCCCAGCTCTAGAAGGGACTCTTGTCACCAAAAGCACCCTAGGTCTTCAGAGCAAAAGCATGGGAAGGCAACACTACTGCACCACCTTCCATGCAGCCAGTCTACATCAAACTCAGTGGGGAAACAGGAGGGGACCCTAGGCGGCCTGAGGGAGAGGCAGGACACCCAGCTGCTGCCCCCACTGCTACCCACCCCAAGCATCTCTCGTGCTCTTTTTTCACATTCTGCTGCGTGCGTACCACCGGCTGATGACTCCTGGCTGGCTGCCACCCCAACCTGGGCCCCCACCGGTTCCGGTGACGCCTCCTTCATGCCTGAAACGACAGGTGTGCTCCTTCTCCCAGAGTCCATTTGCCACCCTGGGCTCTGAGGGACTTGGGCCAAGAGCTGCCTTCCCCGCCCACAGCTAGGACGCTGATGTCCCAGTGTGGACAGCCACAGACCTGGGCTCAAGGCCTGGCCCTCAGCCTCTAGCAGCACCCAGTCCAAGCTGGACAGTGTCAGAGGTGGAAACTGGCCGGAAGGCGACACTCACTCACCTCCCCCAGCCTCTCCTATGGCATGAGCTGGTGTCCCCAGCACGGTGGCATGCACAGACATCGGCACTCGCTCTGGGGTGGGCACCGACCCCTGCACCTGGGTCTCAGGGTGGCCCTGGGTCTGCTCCGGTGGCTGTACAGGCACCTGCGTGGAAGGCTGCTCTGGGGGCTGCTCCTGCGGCTGCTCCCTCAGCTGGCCCTGGCTAGGCACCTGTGGATACGTCTGGGTCTGGGCCTGCTTCTGCAGCTGCAGCTGCCCCTGCTTTGGGGGCTGGGCACAGGCCTGTGACTGCACCTGCTTCTGTGGCTCTGCCTCCTTCTGCAGCGGCACTAAGTGCTCTGGGGAGGTCTGTGTTTGTGCCTGCTTCTGCAGCTTCAGCGGCACCTGGGTGTCCACAGGTAGCATCTGTGGTGGAGTCTGGGGCTGCACCTGGGCCTGGATCTGCAGGACCCGTGGCTGGAATCGGGGCAGCACTCGGGCTTCCGGTGGCTCAGGCAGCAGTTCTGGTGTCTGGGTCTGCTTGGCCACTGTCATCCGGGCCTGCGGCTGCACCTTCACCTGTGACTGCCCTGGAGGCCCCTTCTCTGTGGGCCTCTCTGAGCTACAAGGGATCAAAAGAAGATCAAACTCACATCTCCCAAGAGACCCCAAGAAAGACCAAGACCCAGGTTCTAATCCCAGTTCCACCACTAACAAGCAGATTGGGGCAACTCTGTGGCTTTCTTAGCTGTGATCATTAATCCTGATGTATCAACTTGACTGGATTAAGAAACACTTGGCAGGGGCTAGGGATTTAGCTCAGTGGTTCCACCACCTGCCTTGCAAGCAGAAGGACCTGAGTTCAATCCCCAGTACCAAAAAAAAAAAAAAAAAGAAAGAAAGAAACACTTGGCAGGGGCTGGGGATTTAGCTCAATGGTACCACTGCCTGCCTCAAAATCGCATGGTCCTGAGTTCGATCCCCGGTACAAAAAGAAACATTTGGCAGGTTAGTAAAGCACACTTCTGGGTACACCTGGGTGTGCCATGGAGGTGTGACTTGGGGACTATATATCAATGGTCCTCAAAATTTGGGGCACCAGGGACCAGTTTCATGGAAGACAATTTTTCCACAGAACAGGGGTAGTGATGAAGAATAGTTTCAGGATGATTCAAACACATTACATTTGTTGTGCACTTTATTTCTATTATTATTACATTAGATTCTCATAAAGAGAGCACGACCTAGACCCCTCAGCTCTCCCTACACACCTCTTGGTAGGGTGTGCACTCCTATGAGAAGCTAATGCAACCACTGATCTGCAGGAGGTGAAGTTCAAGAGGTGATGCAAAAGATGGGACGTGGATGTAAATACAGATGAAGTGGCCTGGTTCCAAACAGGCCACGTATATACTGGCACTAGACTGTGGCCTGGGGGGTGTGGACCTCCACTATATATGGTCCCTGGCCCCTTTTGCTCTGGTGCTATTTCCCTATTCCACTTCCTGGCTGCTGTGAGCTAGGCAGCTTTGCTCTGCCATATCCCTCTGCCATGATGTTTCTGCCTTGGAGCCAGCAAACCATGGACTGAATCCTCTGAAACAGCTATATTAAACCTCTTCTCCTTTAAATTATGGGCATCGGTTATTGTGTCCCAAAGATGGGAAAACTCACTTATAGAAAACAGATACCTAGAGTGGGGCTGCTGCTCTAATTATATCTGACCATTTGATTTAGAAGCTTCTGAATTGGCTTGTGGGAGGTTTTTGGAAGTTTGGAGAAGCCAGCAAAAGAAGCCCTACTAAGCAGAGCTTGATGGGTGATTCTGGTAGGAGGCCAGAAAACCAGACTGCTGATAGGAATTCAAACAGTAGGGACAGGGATTTAGCTCAGTGGTTTCGCCACCTGCTGCACAAGCGGCAAAGACCCGAGTTCAATCCCCGGTACCAAAAAAAAATACTTACCAGGAATTCAAACAGTAAAGGCCAGGCTCAAGAAGTTTTAGTTGGGAAGAAGGACTCTATTAGAAACTGGACTAGAGGCCATGTTTGTTACATTCTGGCAAACTCGTCTTCATTTTGTCCATGTCCTAAGACTACATGAGGTTGAATTTAAAGGTAGCAGACTAATTAATCTGATGAAGGAAATTTCAAGACAGCCCAACATTCAGGCTGTGGCATGGATACTGCTGGCTGCTTTCAACCAAATTTATAGTGAAAACTGGGGGCAAAAACCAGAACAGAAAAATTTGAAAAACTTAAATTTTGGTCCAAAACGAATCATGTGTAAAGTTGGGGCCAAAGGAAGTGTGGTTGCTGAAGAGACCAATGCCATAAAAAAGAAACCAAGTACTTTGTACCGGGGCAAGAAGAAAGATGCCTTAAGGGCATCTCAGGAATCAGCAAGATCCCACCCATCACAAGCTCAATGGTACAAAAGTATAAACCTTTCATTTGAGAAAAGCCCTGGGCCCCCTACTCCATTGAAGGGCCACCTAAAGAACTGATTCCTTGGGATTCATTTCACTGTATTCAGTCATCTAGGCACTCAGAGGCTGCTGCTGCCATGGTCCCAAGGGGCCTGGCTACTGCCTGCACTGGTGGCAGACCTTAGCATCATCCATGTGATGCTGGTTTTACAATGAATATGTTGTGGAGTCTGGGAGACTCCTGCCCAGATATCAAAGGAAGGCCTAAGAGGCCAGGCAGTATGGCCCTGAGAGGGCAGTGCATGAAGCAGTGAAAGTGAAGCCAAAAGTGCAGTGGAGACCCCAGGAAGTTGGAGATGTCAGAAACACAGAACATCTGCAGGCTATGAGTGGTGTCACCCCAAGGTATAAGCCATGTGGGCTGCAACCAGCAAGACCACAGGAATAGGGCCGCCCAAGCCCTTTGAAGCTCACATCTCACCACAACCTGCCCTGGGTGCCTGACTTGGAGCTATAGGATTTAATGTTTGCCCTGCTGGGTTTCAGTCTTGCTTGGGTCTGATTCTTTTCTATCCTCCTATTCCTCCTTTTCAGAATGGAAATGTTTACCCTGTACCGTTCTACCTTAGGATTGTGTAACTTTTTTTTTTACTTTCACAGTGGTTCACAGCTAAGAGTTTGCTTGAGTTGCAGAAGAGATTTTGACTTGGGCCAGGGATTTACCTCAGTGACACTGTGCCTGCCGTGAAAGTGCAAGGTCCTGAGTTCGATCCCCAGTACCAAAAAAGAGAGAGAGACTTTGACTCAGACTTCTGAAAAATGCTGGAATTGTCAAGACTGAGAAAAAGATTATTACATTTTTTTATTGTATGCAAGATAGTTGGATCATGTTAGGTGAAATTATTAATGTATTGTGTTTATTTGGATATTAAGGAGATATGTTTGGTGTGAGGCTGACAAGGGGTGGACTGTGATTGGTCATGTTGATATGTCAGTTTGATTGGATTAAAACACGCATATCAGATTAGTAAAGTACAACTTCTGGGTGTTCCTGGGTAGGTCACTGAAGGCATGACCTTGGGTACTATTTATGGTCCCTTGTTCCTTCCTCTATGGCCCTGTTCCCCTGCTCTGTTTCCCAGCTGCCATGAACTAGGCAGCTTTACCCTCCCCTGCCCTCCTGCCATTATGTTCCTGCCTTAGAGCCACCTGACCATGTACTGAATCCACTAAAACCATGAACTGAATTAAAACTCTCCTCCTTTAAGCTGTGGGTGTCAACTTTTGTATCCCAGGGCCAGAAAACCTGACTAATACAGGGGCATCAGTGTCACCTAAATAAATTGGAGAGGATTTCCCCCTCCTGCTACCTGCTAACACATCTCCAATTAGCCCTGGAAACCTGCCCACCCTCTGCCACTCTCTGAGGTCTCAGGAATACATCTTCATCCCTCCATCCTGATCCCTAGTGTGGCCTACAGGTCTGGCCTGGTGCCTTCCCAGGTAGGTGCAGAACTAAGTATGACTTTCCTCCATGCTAGAGACCAACCTGTCCCCATGCTCCACAGGGTTGGCCCTTGCCTCTCCCACCTTTGCAGGGATGAACACAGGGCACCTGGGCCCTGGCACCTCCCCAGATTCACTTACCTCCTCAACCTCTTGGCCAGTGGCTCAGTCACCTCACAAGGTTCAGGTTCAGGTGTGGGAGTGAGTTTCTCACTCATGATGCCATCTGGGCAGGGGAGCGAATCTTGGTCTAGAGTGGGGATGGACAGGGGAATAGAGGTGCCATGTAGAGCATGTCTGTGCCCCAGAAATGGGGCCAGGTCTCAACCCCACCAAGAATGCCTGCCCCTCACATCTGCCTCCATGACCTGGGCCCTCCTCCCACCCCCCAATCCATGTCCCCACTGAAGGGCTGGCAGGCTCCCCACCTCCCTCACCTTCGGGTGTGTCCATTCTGAACTCTTCAGCTTCTTCAGACCCCTCTCGGGGGTCTGCCCCATCTTCCACAGGCATTGTCTGGGAAGAAGAATCCTGCTTCCTTTCAGAAACCATTTCTGACAGCTGCCACCACCACTGCAAATGCTGCCTTGCCCTAGAGTGGCTGACACAGTCCCCAAGGGCTGCCAGGGTCCAGGGGATCTCTGGTGGGCCTGGCTCCGGAGCTGCCGGGCAGGTGTTTGGATACACCCCACACCCCGTTTAACAAAAGTCAGGCTGGGGGTCACGAAGCTTCCCCAGCCCCTGGCTTTCCCACACCCTTCTTCCCAAGGAGCCTGTGAAACACAGTCCTGATAGTGTCTCTGGCCTCTTTCAAGTTGAAACTGCTCTTGGCTTCTCATACACAGAGGTACTCCTTGCCCCAAGCCTGAAACCATCCTTCCTTGCCCACCCCATCCCACACAACCCGGTCTCTGCCCCCTCAGCCCCCGCCAGCCCCCTCTGGCCTCAGTGTCTCTGCTCTTCCTGCCACTCTCTGTGTGTCCATGCTGGGCTTCTCCAGCAAGCAAGCCCTGGGCCTCCACCTTCTCCCAGGGCCCCCAAAGCAGCTCCTTTCAGGAAGCCTCCTACCCCAAACCAGGTCCAGACCCTTCCTGTTCCTGTAGGCCCCAGGTGGCCTTCCACTTACTTTGGTGGCATTTTCCAGTGTTAAATAGTTCATCAGGGCATTATATACTTTAACATCTCTCACGCCCTGCCCCCATGACCTACAGGAAGGCCAGGCCACATGGAACATCTGCACTACTGGACCCCTCATCCCACAGGGGCTTTACAGACATTTGCTCTATGAACACAAGGCTCCAGGCAGCTCCGGGCACCCTGGGAAGCCCTGGGGCCTGCCTGCAACTTCCTTCCCTCCTGTGAAGCCCCACGCACTAGGACTGAGGGGAAAGGAAATCTGCACCCACATCAGGACTCTCAGATTCCACCTAGCTCTCGCCTTGCAGGACACAGGCATTTGCCTGAGAGTTGGGGGCCCAATGCTGAACTGGGCCCCTTTTGGAAGACAGTGCCTTGTCTCCAGATGTGGGCAGCCTGAAGCAACCAGGTAAGGGTTGTCACCTGTGCCCAGGAAAGTGCTCAAATAAATCTAACAAAGCCAGGCGTGGTTGAGCTGGGGCTGACATCCAGCTGTCCCCTTTCCCACTCCCCTCCCCCAGCCACCACTCACCTTGCGATTGGGGGTGTTGGAAGAGTGGGTCCGGGTCTGTTTCTGGGGGTTTCTCCCTGAGAGATTAAGCTGCGAGGGGTTCATAGGGACCCCAACAGGAGGGGGGCCCAGCAGAGACTGGCGAGTGGCCTGGGGAAAGAACTGCTGCAGATTGGGAGGACCCAGCTGGGACGGTGTAATACTAGGGGTTGTGAGGCTTGGGGTTGCCATGCTGTAGCCACGGAGGTTGCCTACAGGCAGGAGAGGAGAGAAGAGGCTCTCACCATGGCTGGGTGGTGGAGGCTGGGGTCAAGGGTCACCCCCAAAGAATCATGGGAATATCATGGTTAACATCCAAGGGCACCATGCCCATCCCTGGGCAGCCAGAGTTGAGAGATGAGAGACACAATCTCCCCCACACCATGTGTGTTGGCGGTGAAGGAGGTTTTGGGGCTGGTTTTCTGCTCCAGCTAGGGGTCAGGGCTGCTGAAAAGGGAAAACCTCCCAGATGTCTCCTCAAATCATCTTAAGCACCCCAGCAAACCCGCTCACCTCAGGCATGCTTTAGAGTTCACCGCAGCTATGTGACAGACCCCAGCACAGGGCCCACAGGAAAAACCAGAAAGATTCTGGTCCTACCCCAAAGCTCCCCTTTCTCCAAAGCCTACTGTGAGCCAGGTACTGTATTAAGTAAGCGCTTCCCATCACTGCTTCTGTCACCTGGCCTCCCAGGCATCAGGCAAGATAGCATCATCTCTACTGGTGACAAAACACAAGCTGGGCATAATGGCACATACTTATAATCCCAGCACTCAGGAGGCTGAGACAGGAGGATCAACACAAGTTCAAGGCCAGCCTGGGCTACATAGTGAGTTGAAGACCAGCCTGACTTGCATACCAAAAAAACCAAAAAATATACGTCTCAAAAAACCAAAAATACACATGTGTGCCTGGTACACAGTAAGTGTTCAGTTATCATTAACTCAAAACAAATACATATATACACATGCGAAGAGAGCCAACCAGCTCTTTTTTTTTTTTTTTGGTACCGGAGATCGAACTCGGGACCTTCTCTGCTTGTGAGGCAGGCAGCGGAACCACTGAGTTAAATCCCCGGCCCCAACCAGCTCTTAAAAACAAGAAGACGAAAGATGGAACATGCTCAAAGAAAAATGGAAAAGGACATGGACAAGTCACAAAAAGATAAACAAATGTTTAACAGATAAATATAAAAATGTTCAACAGCACTGGAACTCCAGGAAATGTATATTAAAACATTAATGACTTCGTATTTTTTTTGCCTACCAACTTAGTAAATTATACAGATAGAAACATTTATAAATATAAAAAAGAAGCATATAATACCCAGTGTTGCCGTGGGCATGGTGAGACCGGCACTGTCATACGTGGCTGGTGGCATTGCAAACTGGTCCAGTCCTTTAGAAAAGCAATTTGGCAATACTTATCAAAAGCCATAATACATCCAACCCCTGATTCAGTCATTCCACTTTTGGGAATCTAGTCTAAGAAAATAGTCTCAAAAAAAATTTTTTAAATTAAAAAAGAAGAAGAAAATAGTCTCAACTATCATATTCATCATATTATTTAAAACAGGAAAAGAAAAAGGAACAGCTGAGAAAATTTATGTAAACAAGGGTAGATTCCCTCCAGTGAATTAAAAATAACCTCAACGGATTGTCAAACCATGTGGTAAATGATCGGGTCCCTCTATTCAAGGAAAAGAAATAAGACACAGTCTCTCACTTAGAGCAACCCCAATAATCATACACAGCTCCCCACGTCCTTGCCTAGAAAACAATGGGAGGAAATATACCAAAATATTGGCTGGCGATTTTCTTTAGGAAGTGAGTCTATGGATAATCTGAGCTTTCCAACCCCCCCCTTTTTTTACACATTATTTTCATTTTGAAGAGTGTTACTTTGGAAATGTACAAGATAAAGGGTAAATACTGGTATATGTGGGTCCCATGGAGGTGGTTTCGTTCTCTATCCATCCATGTACAATTTGTAAATTAGCTTACAGGATTTTTCACACTCATGTTGCCCTGGCAAGGCAATAACCATCCAATCAACTCTTCCCTGCAGGTGACCTTGGGCACATGATCCCTCCCTCTCTGGGCCTCAGCTTTTTTGTTTAGTTTGGTTTTATTTGGTTTTTTGAAACAGAGTCTCGCTCTGTAGTTCAGCCAGGCCTTGAACTGGAGGCAATCCTCCTGCCTCAGCCTCCCAACTGCTGGGATCACAGGCGTGCACCACCACACCCGGCATTCAAATGGCATCTATGAGTAAGGGCTGCTGAGCATTGCCCAAGGAACCAGCACGATGGCCCAGGGCACCTCTGTGACCTAACAGCTGCATTCAGCTGAGCAGCTTGGGGACTTCCACCTTCTGCAGTCCCAGGGTCCTGAGAGGGAGAGCAATGAGGGGACCCAGAAGCTGGCACAAGCGTGGGGTTCATACCTTGCAACTGCTGCAAAAGCAAAGCTCTCTGCAGCATGGAGCCATTGAGGAGGGAGGTGGCCTGGAGGTTCAGGAGCTGCTGCTGGGGCTGCTGCTGGGGGAGGCTGCTATGTGGAGAAAGTGGCCCTGGAGAGTTACTAGGAAAGTCAGACCCGCCCTCCTTGGGACCCCCCTGCCTCCTTTTTCTGCCCACCCTGCCCATTTTCTCTACAGCAGAGCAGGACTCTCCCTCAGGGAGGGAACTGATTAAATCTAGGACTCCTACAAGGACTAGGATAGCAGGGGGCTCCCACACATGGGTCTGTAGGACAGACTGAAGCCTGCATCCACCCAAGCTGGGACTCACCGGCTCATGGCCATGGGCAGGGGGGCTTGCGGTGGGGACTGCTGGAGCAGCTGCTGGAGCTGCAGTAGTTGCTGCTGCTGCTGCAGTTGCTGCTGGTGGCTGAACATGGTGGCTGAGGGGAACAAGGAGAGTGAGGCCCGGGTTCCCTCCGCTTCACAGCCTCCTGCCCCAGCCTGCAGCCTCACGTGCTCCCCTCTGAGCTACACCACATACGCACCCAGAGCCCTCCCCTGCCAGCTTCCCGAAATCCTACCAACGTCCTTCCATCCCAGCATCCAAACACAACACACTTTCAGCCCCACCTCCAGGCTCCCAGGCAACCGGCACTGGAGGGGCCCGCCCCTCCCCAGTCACACCCCGGGCGGTACCGACGTCCTGCTTTTTGTGCCCAGCCTGTGTCAATAACAGCGGCACCGTCCTGGCGGAAAGGTGCCCCCATCTAACCCGCCCCCCACCCCTCCGGCGCCCCCGATCCCTCCCAGCGGACTCGCCAGCCTTACCCACGGCTCCCGCGCCCGGCCTGCCGCGAACCCTGCAGTCTCCTTGCAGGTAGCCCCAAACCCCGCAGTTCCCCCCACCCGCGGCTCCCCCACCTCCCCGCCGCACGCGGCTTCCAACCCAGATCCTGCAGCCCCCCGCGCCCCAGCAGTCGCGTGCCCCACGGGGAGGGCGCGTAGCGCGCCAGCCACTCGCGGGCCGGGCTGCTCCAGATCTGGGCTTTCGGGATGCCCGCGACTCAGCCGGGCCTGGACACTCGGAAGGGTGGCCACGGCGGGCCGGACAGCGCCCCCCGGAGGACGGGAGGTCCAGGGGCCGGGTCGGCTTCCGGGTTCGCGTCCGCTCACCCACCCCGCGCGGTGACGGCAGCGGGAATTTAAGGCGCCTACGAGGAGGCCTCCGCCTCGGGAAGGCGGGGCTGTGAGCCCTGGCTCCGTCTGTTGCCTAGAGGGGTCTGTTGTTCGGCGAGGCCATCGCTGGGGCTTCCAGGAGGACTCGTCCCCAGCCGACCTCCCCGAGTCCGCTCGGCCACGAGACCCAGAGCCGCGCGGCCTGGGGTGGGAGGGGCGAGGAGGCGCCCGTGCACTTTCGGTGACTACCGGGCAGGGGCAGAGGACGGCCTGCCCGGGAGTAAGGGGAGGGACGATTTGAAAGTTTGTTTTGTTTTGTTTTGTTTTTCTATTAGATTTGGCCGGAGGGATAGGGTGAGATTTCAGTTATAAAAACCTGCCCTGGCCGGGTGTGGTGGTGCACACCTGTAATCCCAGAATTTGGGAGGCTGGGACAGGAGGATCGTCTCGAGTTAAAGGCCAGTCTGGGCTACATATTGAGTTCAAGACCAGGTTGAACTACATAGCGAGACCCTGTCTCAAAAAAAAACAAAGGCCGGGGATTTAGCTCAGTGGTTCCGGCGCCTGCCTCACAAGTGCAAGGACCCGACTTCGATCCCCGGTACCAAAAAAAAAAAAAAATCTTGCTCTGAACCCTCACCCACCCTCCGAAAACGGGCCTGCTCTCCAAGGTCCCCTCTTAATGACCACTCCGAGCTCTATCCCTATCCCGGTTCCTAAACAATCTTTGCCTACTAGGAAGCCATTCTTTTTTTCTCTTTTCTACTGCTCAAAGCCATCCCCTGCCCGGGGCAAGCTGCTCAAGGGGCCTGCTGCGCCGACTGTCAACAACTTCTTTTGCAACTGCCCGGCCGGGTCCACAAGTCACTGCAGTCAGGTGACAGGCGCTGCCCCAGGGCTGTGGACCGGCTCTACCGCAGCCCCCCGCGGCGGCTCAGGTGTCTAACGACCTGGGCCAGTGGCTGGGACCTGGGACTCAGAGCCCCGAAAGTGGCTCTGAGGGGCCGAGCTCGGGGTGGGGACCAGCCCGGGCGGGGGGACATCTGGAAAGGCAGCCTGGCAAATGTGGAGCCTTTGGACGCCGGGCAGAGGAAGTGGCTGCGTCCCTGAAGGGTAGGGAGCTTTCGGGAAGGGCGTGAAGCCCGCGGTGACTTCAAATCCGGGCATTAGAAAAAATGCACCCCGCTGAGAATAGAGGCTCAGGCACTGCAGACTGGGAGGAGGAGCGAGTGAGAACTGCACAGGCTGCCAACCAGGTGGAAGCAGGTGACACCCTGATGAGGGACCTGCCTTGAAGTCCAGGGTGCCGCGCCATCAGGCTAGGCGAGCCTGGCGGACAGGAGAGACCTCTCCAACCGTTTCATCTGTAAAACGGGTGCCCCCTCCCAGAGGGGTATGGGTCGTGACATTGCATAAGCTTCACACTGGACTGGCACACAGATTTACAAATTGCCAAAGTAAAAACAACAATGCCCACGTGGTGGTGCAGGCCTGGAATCCTACCTGAAGGTGCTGAGGCAGGAGGATCACCACGAGTTCAAGACCACCCTGAACTACATAGCAAGACCCTGTCTCAAAACACAAAACAAAGAAATGCTAACAAGCCCAGTGCTGGTGAAGGTAGAAAAACTAGCCCTGGCTTCCCTTACCTATGTATCTTATTGTAAACCAATCAGCAAATTTTCTATCCACATCTAAGAACACATTCTGCTCTTTGACTGAATAACTTCACATGTAGAAATCAGGCCCAAGAAAATAATCAGGAGTGAGGTTTTAAAAAGTCAGTAGACCGGGGCCAGGGATTTAGCTCAGTGGTTTCACTGCCTGCTGTGCAAGCACAAGGACCCGAGTTCGATCCCCAGAACCAAAAAAAAAAAGTCAGCAGACTGTGCATGGAAACTTTTTTTTTTTTGAGACAGGGTCTTGCTGTGTAGTTCAGGCTGACCATGCACTCGCTATGAAGCCCAGGCTGGCCTCAAACTCAGTGATCCTCCTGCCTCAGCCTCCCGAGTGCCGGGATAACAGGCGTGTGCTGCCACACCCAGCAGAAACATTATTTATGATAGCTGTCTGGAAAATAATCAACTTTAAGGGAACAGCTAAATAAATCATGGTGTCTGCCTCTCGAGGAATAGCAGACAGCCATCAGAAATTGTGTCTTCAAAAGAACTTGGCATGGGCCGGGGATTTAGCTCAGTAGTTTCGCCGCCTGCTGCGCAAGCACAAGGACCCGAGTTCGATCCCTGGTACCAAAAAAAAAAAAAAAGAACTTGGCAGGGCACAAAACTGCACATGGTTTCGGAAAGAATAAATACATGTGTGTAGGAGCGGGGATTTAGCTCAGTGGCTCGGGCGCCTGCCTCGCAAGCTCAAGGACCCAAGTTCAATCCCTGGTACCAAAAAAAAAAAAAATTCTTCAGCACTTAGGAAGCTGAGGGAAGAGGATCACAAGTTCAAGGCCAAACTGTATTTTAAAAAGAGACCCCTCTCAAAAAACTAAAAATTGGGCCGGGGATTTAGCTCAGTGGTTCTACCGCCTGCCTCCTGCCTTGCAGGCACAAAGATTTGAGTTCGATCCCCAGTACCAAAAAAAAAAAATTAAAAATTGAGGCTTGAGGGCTGAGGATTTAGCTCAGTGGTTTCGCTGCCTGCTGCCCAAGCACAAGGACCCAAGTTTGATCCCCGGTACCAAAAAAAAAAAATTGAGGCTTGGGGATGTAGCTCCCCAGTTTCTCTTGTAGGGGACCATGCTCAACCTGCACATCCCTCCTGGAACCCACCCAGCTTCCTTGGTGGCCTTGTTGCTGCTTTTGCCAGTGCACTTTCCAAGCAGCTATTGATTATGGCGTCCTTATTTTGTAACCTGCCACCTTCTCCCCTCACATTGTTTCCGTCCTCACTGATGTCATGTGCCCCTTGATGATAGAAAGCAGTGGCTGAGTTATCCCAGCTCAGCCCTCCAAATCACAGGGTGGCCTGGGGAAGGTGAATTCCATGAATGAATGGACGGATGAATGAATGAATGAATGGATGAATGAATGAATGAACGAATGAATGAATGAATGACACTGGGATGTGGTTTCCTCCCTCCATCCTCAGGCTGATGTTCCTGGTACAGCTCATCCATCCTTGACATCTGAGTCCGTTCCCTAGAGCCCCAGACGGAGACCCAGCACGCCATGTGGACACAGGCAGGGAGGTGGGCTCCGAGCTCCGGGGAACAGGCTGTGCTCAGCGGCAGCTCCGAGTCAGGCGAGAGGCAGAGAATACCAGGCCATATGCTTATCACGTGGTTTTCCCAGTGGCTGTCGCCCACCTGCACCTCTTCCTATAAATAAACGGGGTGAGGGAGACAGAGGACAGAGGTGCAGACAAGCAGGATGGGCACAGTCTCGCTGCCGTCTCTACCTTCTGGGGTGACCCCGCCCCACTTAGGGCCCTGGTCTGGCCATCTCTGCCGGGTGGGGCTGACTCTCCCCATCCCTGCCTCCTTCTGTATCCAGCCACGCCCCCTGCTTTCCCCAAAAGACTGAAGAAACACCGAGAAGTGGTGCCTAAGCCTTCTTCACATGCTGGGAAGTGGACAATCACAAGTTCAAACCTAGCCTGGGTAATTTAATGACTTAGTAAGACCCTGTCTCAAAATTTTAAAAGAGGGGTGGGGATGTAGCTCAGTGGCAAGGTTCCAGGTTTAATCCCTTGTAGCCCCCCCCCCTCCCAAAATAAAAGACTGAAGAAGCCCCTTTGGACAGTGCAAGGTGATGATGATTAGAATCACACTAATCACAGCTCTCATTATGCACTATTCCAATGCTTTACCTAAGGTGTTTTCTTTATCTTTTATTATTTTGCAGTGTGGGGATAGAACCCGGGGTCTCGTGTATGCTAGGCAAGAGCTTTACCACTGAGCTACATCCCCAGCCTGCACCTAAGCTACTACATCACTGACTCCCCACATAATCTTATGAGTGAGGCTTTATGATTCCTCCCTTTTACAGAGGAAGAAACTGAGGATCAGAAAGGTGAAGTGGCTTGCTCAAGGCATGGCAGTGCACCCCTGTGATCCCAGCACTTGGGAGGCTGAGGCAGGAAGACCACAAGTTCAAGGCCAGCTGGGGCTGCATAACAAGACCCTGTCTCAAAATAAAAATTTTTTAAAGGATAGAGAGACAGCTCAGTGGTAGAGCACTTGCCAAGCATGCACAAGCCCCTGCTTCAATCCCCAGTACTGCAAAAATCAAACAAACATAGATTTCAAGAGCTGGTGTAATGTAAGACGTAAATGTGGAAGCTCTGAGTCACACTGGTCTCCATCCACATCCTGACTCTGTCACTTCCCTGTGCCTCAGTTTCTTCATCTGTCAAAGCGAGCTAATAACAATTCTCCCTTCTGAGGGCTGGGAGAAAGTACAGGTGGCATCGCTCAGCTCAGTAATCTGGCTAGGAGGGGAGGCCCAGTGCACATTCCTGTTAATGATTGGCCTAGCACAGCCATTTTTAGCAGACCAGGACAAGGGCTACATTGTGGAAAACTATGCAGCCATTAACAAGGAATGTAGCTGATTAATCTTTTTTTTTTTTTCTTTCAGTGCCAGGGATTGAACTCAGGACCTTGCATTTGTGAGGCAGGCGGGGCACCACTGAGCTGAATCCCTAGCCCCAATCTGTTCTTATCTTACACTGGAAGATGTCTAAAATATACTGTTGTTAAAAACCAAATTTTAGATAATGTATATCAAAGCTTCTGCAACTCTAATGTGCACAGGAATCTTTTGCAGTCATTTGTTGGGTTTTTTTGTTGTTGTTACTGTCTTTCTGGAACCAGGGATCAAACTCGGGACCTTGTGCTTATAAACCAGGCATGGTGCCACTAGGCTAAATCCTCAGCCCAATCCTTGGTTATTGTCACACAAGCTGTGATGCAGCTGGTCTTGGGTGAGGCTTGGGATTCTGCACTTCTCACCCACTTCCCATGACCCCTAGGCTGCTGGTCTACTGTCAGCGATAAGATATTTCATGGGCCGGGGATTTAGCTCAGTGGTTTCGCTGCCTGCTATGCAAGTGCAAAGACCCTAGTTCGATCCCTGGTACCAAAAAAAAAAAAAAAAAATTCATATGATCCCATTTCTGTACAAACAAAATAGAAGAAAACAAATATATATGGGGGAGGAGGCCAGAGAAGGTAGGTAATGATGATCTCTAGATGAAGAAATGACCAGAGGCTTTCAAGCATCTGTATAAAATCTGACTTTGCTGGGCACAGTGGCACAAGCATGAATCCCAGCACTCTGGGAAGCTGAGGCAGGAAGATTACAAGTTTGAGCCTAGCCTGGGCAACTTAGCCAGAGACTGTCTCAAAAAAAAAATTTTAAAGGGCTGGGGATTTAGCTCAGTGGGGAGATCTTGGGCTCAACCCCCAACACCATACATATATACATACATTATATACATACATACATACATAAATACATGGGCTGGGAATGTAGCTCAGTTTGAAGGTCATGGGTTTGATCCCTTGTACCACAATAAACAAATAAATCTGTTTTTCACAACAAGTCTCACAATTGTAATCCAGGAGGGGGAAAAGGATGAAAAACAATAAAAGACCAGGTGACAGTGCCCCTCCAGGCAGACAACAGCAAACTACACCCTGCCCCAGGTAATGGTGCTGCACATCTGGGCTCCCATCTCTGCCCTCTCTGGCCCTCAGAGCCCAGAACACGCAGGCCTGGAGCAGCTGCTCAGGATGTGGGACCAGTGGAGCTGATCCCCCAGCTGGCCAGAGAGCTGTCATCATCGAGTGCTCACCTGAGGTCTATGAGGGCCTGCTGGGTGCCAGCTGGGGCTATGCCCTATGCAGGCATTGGGATCAATCAGTATGCCATCACCCAGGTTAGACAGGGGAGCCTCAGTGATGTGAAAGGACCTGGAGGACATAGCTGCAGGTAGCCCTACTACCAAGGGCCACTCGGTCCCCTCTGCAGGCCTCGAAATTTCCTCCCCCACATGGGTCCGTCCTTCACTTGCAGCAAATCTCTGCTCCAATATCACCTTACCAGACACTTCTTTGTGTGTCCTCAACAGCTAGCAACACTCCCCCTCCCTGACACTGCCTTCTTGCTCGACACTACTTGTCATACTTGGCTTACTTGTAGGTTGTCTCAAACAGCAGAGAGCTGGCTGGCCTTCCCTTCCTAGTGGCCTGGGACCCCACTGCCTGTCTGTGTGAAGAGGATGGGAAGAGTAGGCTTGTAGAAGCCCTGGATTTGAATCCCATTATTTTACTACCATTCTGATGAGTTGGGGCCACTCTGCCACTCTGTAGGACAAGAACTCCTCACTCCCCCAAGAAGGGCCTTCCAAGTGTCAGGGCCTTTGCACCTGCTCTTCATTCTGCTTGGCGCACTTGTCCCCTGTCGCTGCCTGCTCCTCATCTTTGTTTTTTTGTTTTGGTTTGGTTTTTGTTTGGTTGGTTGATTGATTTTGTTTTTTTGAGACAGGGTCGAGATATGTAGTCCAGGTCAGCCTTGAACTTACCGTGTAGCCCAGGCGATCCTCCTACCTCAGCCTCCGAGTGCTGAGATCACAGGTGTGTGCCACCTGACAAGGTTTCCTCCCAGTGTCTTCTTCAGAGAACGCCTGACTCCTCCGAGGCTGAAGTGGACTTTCCACACCCACAGATACCACTCTCTACACTCCCCATTTATTTTTTCCAATGCTCCCACTAGAAACTCTTCCAGCGTTCCCTACCCCATTTACCTACTCGTTTGCTGCCTACCCTGCAAGCTGTGAGATCTCCCGGGTGGAGATCTTGGCTATCTGGCTCAGTGCTGAAGCCCTAGGCTTAGGACAGAGCCTGGTTTATCCTGGCTGCTCAGTGAATATATGCTGAATTCATGTTCCATTTTTCCCCTCCTAGAAATGGGGAAACTGAGGCCCAAAGGCAGGAAGGGACACATGTTAGACATTAGTGTCAGAACCTACAAGAGGCGGCAAGGTTAAGTGGAGGCTTAGTCAGGAGACTGTGACCTCGGGGCAGTTCCATCTTCTCTCCAGGCCTCAATTTCCCCACCTGTAAAGTGGAGCAAAGCAGCTATGACCACCATCCAAGACTCTACTGCTAGGGAAGGTACCTCGTCCGTTGCCAGAAATTATATCTTCGAGGCAACACCCGCATCCCCCCCCCCCCGGCCCCCAAATCCTTGGAAAGCGCCCTGAAAGCTGCAGAATGAGAAAACTACAACGTCCATGATGCTCCAGGCAGCGCCTGCGCACAGCGGCCAGCCCGCGGAACCGCGCGCGCCTTCTACCGGCGGCCTGGCGCGGCGCTCAGCTCGCATCCTCCAGGGGCGGGGGGGCCCGCGGCGCACGCAGTTGGGGCGAGCGGCTGCTGCAGCGGACCCGGGAGCCGGAGCGGGAGCAGGAGCGGCATCCTGATCACAGCCCGCGGGGCCCGCCGCAGCCATGGGCAACCGCGGTATGGAGGATCTCATCCCGCTGGTCAACCGGCTGCAGGATGCCTTCTCCGCCATCGGCCAGAACGCGGACCTCGACCTGCCGCAGATCGCCGTGGTGGGCGGCCAGAGCGCCGGCAAGAGCTCGGTGCTCGAGAATTTCGTAGGCAGGTAAGGGCGGCGCGGCCCCCAGCCCCGTCCCCGCGCTCCCCGAGCCGCGCCCCCGGCCCCGCCCGGCCCCCACCTCGAGATACCCGGGGGTGGCAGCGCCCCCCACCCTTCGCGTCACGCCTCCTCCGCAGCCGCATCCCTTGGGAACGGCAGCGCGGTGCCCGGGGACCCTGGCAAAGGGTGACCCCCGCCCCAACACGGGCACGAGGGGCCGCCTTACTCAGCGCCTCCCCTGGCCCGGGGCTCCCGTCGCACCGAGGCTCTGCCCGAGCCCCCGGGAGTCCCCGCGCCGTGACAGGGGACGCCCCCACCTCGGGCTGGAACAGGACCTGGCCCCGTGGGCCCGAGGACCGGCGCGGCGCCCCCCGCGCACACGCGCACCTCTGCGGCTCCCGCCGCCATCCGTGCGCAGCGCGGCGAGGGGGAGGCGCGGGGGCTGTGGGGAGGACGCGAGGGGGAAGCCGGAGCCGCTTCTGCCGATCCTGAGCCGCCTGCCCCTGGCTTCACCGCCCCTGGGTGGGGGCGCCTGTCAGTGTCCCCTCCCCCTTGGCCTGGCACAGGGATTGCGATGAGGGAGAAGGCGGCGGAGGGCAGCGATGACTAAGACGGGGAGGCAGCGTGGCGGGGAGGGGGAGCCATCTGCAGAATCTAATCCCCCTCCCGCCTCTGATCCCACAAGGCACCGAGGCCAGGTGGCGGGGTGGGAAGCCGCGCAAACACAAAGGGTCCTGGTTTAGGGGAGCAGCAGAGTCGCGACCCCCCACCCCCAAAGAAGGGGTGCAGAGATGGAAAGAAGCTGAGAGGGTTCTCGGGCCCGGGCGGGCTGGGAGGAGACAGAGGGTGACATTGACCTCCACCCCGCCACCTCCCTTCACCTCTCAGAAACCCTGGCTTTCTCTCAGTGACCTTCGGGCCTAAGGAAGTGACCGACCTGTGGCAAAGGAGGCAGGGGTCCCTCCTGCCAGAGGGACAGTGGTTCTGTGGGGTGACATGTTTTTAAGTCTACTGAGAAACCTCAGGCAAGTCACTTGTCCTCTCCGAGCCTCAGTTTCCCCATATCTGATAAGGACGGGGGGGGGGGTTGGTTTGTGCCAGCACTAGCGGAGAGGGGGGACATTGGGAAGCTACCGTGGTCAGCCCATCTGGTCAGCATGGAGGGAGGCGGATGTCCTTCAGGATGGCTTCTCAGAACCCCCTCTGGGTCACATGACCCCCAGAGCTGCAGAGACCCAGCATCAGGGTTAGGGGTAAAGAGGACCCTGAGGACCATGGCACTTTTCAGTGTGTAAACCTCCTTCCCATCGTCCACCATTGGACATTTGCTGACCCCCTGCTCTGGACAGGGGTTGTGGGGACTAGGGACATCAGCTCCTGTCCCCTCCCATGCCCCCATGCCCGCCTGGTCCTTCACAGACTCACAGCGGCCCCTGTGAGGCAGGCACAGTGATGCCCACCCTACAGATGGGGAAACTGAGACATGGATGTTAGCTACACGCCTTGCCCAAGGTCACACATGCACAAAAGGGAGCACTTGTCAGACTCCAGAGCTTGGCTTCCTGATCTCCACCCCCAGGGCCTCTGAGAGCCAGGCCCTGTGCTGGGCTCCGGGCATGCAGGCGTGTGGCCTCTGTGTCCCCATCAGAGGGACGGGAACCCAGGCAGCTGCTGCCAGGCCTTGCTGAGGAGGGCTCTCGTGAGTTCGTGGGTGCCACAGCCCTTTTGTCTGTTTGCTTGCTTGGTCTTTGAGACAGGGTCTTGCTCTGTAGCTCAGGCAGGCCTTGAACTCACTGCGGAGCCCATGCTGGCCTCAAACTCATGCCGAGCCTCCTACCTCCATGCCCAGCCCCCCTGTTGGCACCACAGGGGAGGGAGGCGTTGGTAGTCACCAGGCTGCTGGCCTGTGTGTACCCAGCACGTTCTTTTGGAGGCCACAGTGCAGCAGGTACTGCAGATTTTGGCAACTGCTTGTCCAGGCCAGAGTAATGTGTGGCTCTCATTGCCCCTTGCACCCCAGTGCCCTTGGCCGAGGTCCCTGCAGGAGGAATCGCGGGTTGCCCGGGCAGGGAACAGGCCAGAAAGCTCTGTCCATCTCCCGGAAGCTGGGGAGGAGGCCAGGGCTGGGGCACAGGCAGGGAAACTGAGGCTCAGGATCACCCATCCAGCATTTGCTGCTTCCTGGGCTTCCAACCTCTCCACCTAGTGCTGGGTCCCCAGACCCGTGAGCATGGTAACAGCAGCGCTGCTCCTGGGAGAGCTCTGCTCCTGTAGAGGAAGTGGAAAATGCATCCCAGGAAAGTGGCTGCTCCAGGCCTGTGGGGATCCCAGGGTCCCCATGGTGAACGTGGCCCGGAGGCTGCCCAGGACCCCGCTAGAACTTGTCAGGGTCTGTGCTGGTTCCTGCTCCCCTTTCTCAGAAGGGAAAACTGGGGCCCCTTCATTCCATCATGTAGCAGACATTCATGCAGAAGCCCCCATGTCTTGGGGATTGGATGGCAGAAAAGTTAAAGGCTGGGCATTCCACTAGGACAATTACAGGATGTGGCCAGTGTCAGCAGAGAGCAGTAAGGCCCCTGAACCTGTGGGAGGTGGCATTTAGCATGAGAAGCCAGCAGCACATGTGAGGCTGGGAGAATTCCAGGCCAGGGAACAGCAAGTGCAAAGGCCCTGGGGCAAGAAAGTTTCTGATGCCCTTTGAAGCACTGTCTTTGAAGACTGCTGTGGCTGGTGTTTGCCCATCGGGAGAGATGGGATGAGAGAAGTAGGTGGGGGCCAGGTCGGTAAGGCCCTTAGAACACCGTGGGTGACTTGGGGGCAGCAGGAGGGTGGTGAGGAGAATACTGAGCCAGGGCTTTCATGGTGGCAAGGAGGAGAATGGCAAGGCTCAGGCTCTGTTTTAGGCGAGGCTCGAACTGGTGCGTGACGTCAAGAAAGAGCGGGGTCTTTGATGCGCACTGGGCTCGGGGTTGGTGGTTGGTGCTGTTCATAGAGTCTGGAAGGATATGGCAGGGACAGGTCTGCGGGTCTGCGGGTGGGCTGTGTGTGTGTGCGTGGTGCTGGGATAGAACCCTGGACCTCGAATATGCTAAGCTGAGCCACGTCCCCAACATTTTTTTCCCCAGTACTGGGACATCACACTGAGCCGCATCCTCGGCCCTTTTGTTATTTTTTATTTTGAGACAAGGGCTCCCGAAGTCACTTGAGTTGTCGAGACTGGCTTCAAATTTACAATCCTCCCGCCTCGGCCTCCCAGAGTGTTGGGATTACAGGGGTCTCACACCACACCTGGCTCCCCAGCTCTTTTTTATTTATGACTTTTGGGTTGTTGTTTTTTCTTTTTGAGAGCAAGCCTTTGCTAAGTTGCCCAGGCTGGCCTGGAACTTGTGATCCTCCAGCCTCAGCCTCCTGAGTAGCTGGGATGACAGATGTGTACCGCTGCACCCACCCATTGGAGGATTTGGTTTTGAACATATTGAGCCTGAGGTGCTTGTTAGACTTCCACGTGGAGGTGTTGGGGAGCTTGGGCGGGAAAGCGGGCTGGAAATAGAAATTTGGAAGTCGTCGGTGTAGAGATGCAATTTCAACCCGTGAGAGTCGATGAGCTCACCCTGGGGTAAGTGTGGACTGGACAGAGGAGTTTCCTGGACCCCAGGACCCTCCAGTGTTTCAGGAACAGATGCCCGGTGCCCTAGGCCAAAGGGGACATCTCTGCTGTCCCTCTGCCCCTCGATCAGTCCTGGCTATGTGCCCTGTGACCCCTCCTTGGGGCCTGGAGTGTCCTGCGACATCACCCTCCGGCCAGGGCGGCGGGGCAGTGGGAGTAGCAGAGGCGAGGGCCAGGTGCTGGGGTGGCCGTGCAGCTCTGCCTCTTACTGAAGAATGACCTCCAGCAGGTTCCTCTCGCCCTGACCAGCTGCCCCGTGAAACGGGGACAGTGACAGCGAGTGTCTCCTCGCGAGAGTCCGGCAGCCTCTGGGGGGCCAGCTGGGGCTGGGAGGGTCTGTGGCATCAGGCGGACTGGGGCCCCGCCTCCCCAAAACCCGTCTGGGCCCTCACCCGCCCATCACCCACCCACCCTCCAAGACTGTGGCCTCCGTGCTGCGCTTGGCCTTGGCCCTGTGTCCGGCCCAGCCCTTCCTGGTGAGCCAAGCTGCTCCCCACAACTGTGCTGTTCCTTCCCATGAACACATCAGGATACAGGGTGGGCCCACTTCTCAGATGCGGAGACCAGGCCAACGAGGAGGAAAGAGGAGGGAGACATCAGGGCAGGGCTCACTGGCCAGAGGGGCAGAGGAAGTGACGTTTCCCAGGCATTCACTGAGTGCCAGGCACATCCCTGCTGCGGGTGCTCACAGGGCAGATAGAGGCCAAGTGCCCGAGGGTCGGGTTCAAGGAGCACAGTCTTGGAGAGAAGAGCTTGTCGGGAGTCAGAGAGGCCCTGAGGTTGGCATTAAGGTTGGACCTGAGCAGGCCTGGAATTGGGTTAGGCGTGGCAGTGCACATCCATAATCCCAGCACTCGGGAGGCTGAGGCAGGAGGATCACCACCAGTTCAAGGCCATCCTGGGCTCCATGGTGAGTTCAAGGCCAGCCTGAACTACATCGAGAGACCCTGTCTCACAAAATGAAAAAGGTTAGGATTTGGACAAGCGGAAGAGGGGAGCCCCCAGGCCGGAAGCTGCCCAAGGGTTTGGGAAGGTCAGAGGCCAGTGTGGCCAAGGGAGCAGCAAAGGCAGCAGGTAGGATTAAGAAGGTGAGGGGTGGGCCGGGGATTTAGCTCAGTGGCTCCGTCACCTGCCTCACAAGCGCAAGGACCCGAGTTCGATCCCCCGTACCAAAAAAAAAAGAAGGTGAGGAGGCCGAGCTCAATGAGCCCTCTTGGGGCCCTCAGTAGTCACCCTTGTCCCTAGAGCTACCGGCACTCGTCTCTCTGGCCTCTGGTGGCCCAGCCAGAGGACATCGGGCCATCCCCATCCCTCCTGGTGGCCCAGTGCAGCTGGGGAC